ACTCGGCTGAGTATCCCTGTAATCTCTACACTCATCCCCATAACCCATCTACCTGACCAAATCAAAAGGGTGTCCAAGTAGGGGTTGAAGCCCTGTGCTTCAACATGCCCAGACTCGAGCTCGAGCCTTAAAGCTCTGACCCCGAAGCCCGGAAACCCAAGACTCTACACCCTTACCCCAAACCACCCGGCCTTCGGGTAGCTGCAAGCCGTTCTCGCAGAGTTCGTGCCTCCCGCTCACGTCGCTGACCGTGAGCATCATCTTTCTCGCCGAGGAGAACCTGAAGTCATCAGATCAGATGTTCCGGGGCTTTGGGGCTTTTTAGGGCTTTAGGGATTCAGGGGTTTACGGCTTTAGGCGTTAGAGCTTTCGGGTTCGAGAGCCCTCTAACCCTGTCGTTACTTTCAGGTTTACGAAAGCTGACTTTCTACCGCTAAACCCATATCCTGAAACCCTACAAATGCCATATAATACGGAGAAGACAATAGAAACCCCTTCTAATGCTCTGAGTCTAAAAAGCAGCATCCAAGTAGGATTGAAGATTGAACCCCGCTCGCAGACCCCTTATCTGACCACGGAAACCCCTGCGCACAACCCGATTTAGGTGTTTGTTCATTGGTGGCGCATGTGCTTAGAGGTCCAGATCTGGATCGGGAGGGCAGGGTTTGGGGTTTAGGATTTACCCCTCAGCCGTAAACTTAAACACCCACCCACACCTTTAAGCCCTAAATCCCTGAACCCCCAAACCATCCACAGAAAAAAACACAAAATGGTAGTTTCAGATAATGTGGACGGTGATAACAAATCCCGTAAGGTGCCCCGAGTCCAAGGAACCCTACAGACCACCCTCGTCTGAAGAAACTACCAAATCACCTAAGCCCTAAACCCAAAACGCCCTTTAAACTCTAAGCTCTGAACGCCCTAGACCGTAAACCTCGAATGGATTCAAATGGCCTAAGAAGCCCCTAAACCCTAAGCCCTACACCCTAAACCTTACACCCTAAACTCAAACCCCGAATGGCCCAAGCCTTTAGCTGAGCTCAGGAGCGGTATGTTTAGCCGCCGCGGGTATTGGCTCGCTAGGCCACCGACGCCGGCCTGGGAAAACGGAGCTTCGAGCCTTCCGGGGGCTTAACAGAGGATGGTTTAGGGCTTAGGGTTCACCTGGTGGGCTTCATACCATGATTAGAATAGGGTTCGGGGCTTAGCAGACACGCACCTCGCACCGAGGAGGCTTACCTTCAATACAGAAGAACTTGAACCAATGGCTGAAAGGAGCATGAGAGTGGCATCACGGCTTTGCAGCTTCATCTGTCACTTGGAAAGGCACCTAGCCTGGCGCGAGGGGAGGCACACCGACCTACCCCTTGAAGCTTTGCCACGAACTTTGGCGGGCAAGTGAAAGCACATGGATGAGGAGCTGGCGCCAGCGCAGTTGTCCCCATACCTGGGGACCCTCCAGCGCCAACAAATAATATATCTTTCCCTCATGATACGAAATTACACAAATGATGGAGAAGGCTCACCGTCCTTCCGCACGTTCGATGCGAATCAAGCTTGCACGCTAGCCTGGAACTATCTTATCAGGAGGTTCTCGCAGCAAGAGTTGAATGCTGTCCTGTTCCGAACTCTGGAACATGTCAGAGTACTACTGAGATCAGAATTTACCCCGGCACATCAAAGGAACCTCTTGCAGTTGCCAGATCCAAGATAGCTGGGAATTCCTTGAGCAAGACCGGGAACTTTCCAAGCTTGATTACGAGGAGTACCAATCCAAATTGGTCCCAATGATTCCGCACTATCAGGATACACTCCGAGAGATCCTGACATTGTACCGCCTCTGGCTGTCCACACCTCTGACAGAGGAAGATTTTCTGTGGGCGCGGAACCTGGTAGTGGGCCAGCTTCTACCAAGAGACACTCTCCATCGCTACTTTGCCGACAGCCTCTGGCAACAAATAAGGCACAGATACGGCGGGGACCAAGGGGACCTTGAGCAGGCACAGGGAGTCATCACTATCATGTCCCCGCTCCACGATCAGGTCTTTGAAGACTACAAGAACTTTGCAGTGGCGCTGACTCTGCTCCTCGATCGTCATCGACGACACTTGAAGCAGTCGCTGAATGATAAAATTCGTGGATAACAAAACGCCAAAGCGCCATAGCTAAACGAGAGAGGTCCCCTCCTGTTTAACAGCTCCTGACTTCCCAGATCGCTGGAAAAAAGCAAGGCATTTCAGTCCTACTGCACGACAGCACTAACCATAGCTCTACGCAGAGGTTTTGCTCTCAAGATTCCGCACGAGTGAGGTCTCCTCCTGGGCGAGACACCACCCTGCCAAGCATCATGGCAGGGTTTCCCCCAGTCCTCAGCCGAGAACAAGCAATGGAGGTACTTCTCGAAGCTCTTTTCACGCCGCTGCCAGTATACTCTACCTCCCAATCAGATCCCGCCGCAGCAAGTAATCTGGAACTTGCATCCTCACGCACCTCTGCGGAGGAAGCGATCCAACACCCAGACCGCCAGATACGGATAGCTTCGCAGCTTCATGAAGCTGCTCACGGAGAAGGTTCACTGGCATATGGGAGAACTGCGGCTCTACCTTCCTAAAACTGCACCTCGACAGCTGGCGGCGAAGCGAAAGCATGACGAGACGACGCTGACTGAACCTCAACTCGACACTCTGCCGTACGATCAGAGGCGCCAGCTCATCTTTATCTCCCAGGTGGTCCGAGACTACACGAACGATGGTCCTGGTCAGAACTCATTTCAGCTGGAAGATGCAGAGCCTACCATCCAACGCGTCTGGACGTACCTGACACGTCACTTCGGCAAGGGGGAGGTGAACCACCTCTTGATGAGATCGGCAGCACCACGCCTACTCTCAGGCATTGAGCAGTCACAGCCATCGCAGGCTCCGGGACAAGGCCTGGACTACTTCCCCTCAAATCTCCATCTACACGATGACAAGCAATTGGATCTCCACTACTTTGACTTGCAGGCGCTCCGGAGGGCATCCACCGTGTACCGGGTACAGCAGCTTCTCAAACTCTCTTGCTCATCCTCATACGGGGCATCGTCAGTGAAGAACGGATGGCGCTTTCAACATCAGGACCACCACCTCAACACTTTGTCCTACGATAAACATCTCCAGGCACTGTTGCCTCATCTCCCGAACTACCAGGACCAAATTCGCGAGGATCTGGTCACGTACAGGAAATGGCTTCTTCGTGAGATCACCACAGAGGAAATCGCCTGGGTTCGTGCTCTGATTACAGAGGCAGTGATATCCCGAGGCGAACTCCTGCAACTCTTTGAAGCAGCACTGCTCAAGCAGGTCAACTACGCGTTCCAAGCCAGTGCTGGACCTCCTAACCCGGAAGATCACTCTCAGGACTTCCAGAGTAGCATGGCTCTTCGTTTCTACCAAATCATCAACCCGCTGCACGACGAATACAAGCCGTACGCAATTGTCTACAAGATGCTCACCTCCCTGCATCGCAAACAGGTCCAATCACTCCTTCGGGCTCGAGAGGCAGCCATCCTGGCTCCCATATCGCACCATTAGCCTGGTTCCAGTATGCGAGTGAGGTCGCCTCCAGCTAACTGAACCATAGCATCTCACAGAGTCATTGTCCAACAATGGACTCGAACACGCCTCCAGACCTTTAACCACAATGCAGAAGTAAAGCCTCAACGCCTCATGATGCACATGTGCCAGCCTGCATTGCCGAAGCTCTTAGACACGGCCTGCCTGCCAGCTTGCCTGCTGAGGTTAATCAATCTCGCAGACGCGTGTACAGATGCGCAACCCTGAACGCTTGCAGAAGGTAGGACATCGGATTGATCAGGCCCTAGACGAATAGGTCACTCAATTTTCACCCTCGATGCCCGCCAAGGTGTGGGACATGACCCGCACATGCGTCCGAAATGAAATGAAATGAAATGCTGTTGCTGCTGTTGCTGTTGTTGCTGTTGTTGCTGTTGTTCCTGCTGTTGGTGTTGGTGTTGTTGTTGTTGTTGTTGTTGTTGTTGTTGTTGTTGTTGTTGTTGTTGTTGTTGTTGTTGTTGTTGTTGTTGTTGTTGTTGTTGTTGTTGTTGTTGTTGTTGTTGTTGTTGTTGTTGTTGTTGTTGTTGTTGTTGTTGTTGTTGTTGTGGTCGTCGTCGTCGTCGTCGTCGTCGTTGTTGTTGTTGTTGTTGTTGTTGTTGTTGTTGTTGTTGGTGGTGTTGTTGTTGTTGTTGTTGTCGTTCTGTGTTTTCTGTGTGTGTTTTGTGTCTTGTGTTTTGTGTTGTGCTCTGCCATGCTGTGCTGTGCAATGTTGTGATGTAGGGCGACTAGGTGTGCACCACGAACCCTTACGCAGATCTGATTCGTACGCTGGGTCACAGCTGGAAGAGCACCAATGGCCATAGAAATGAGCACGGACATGAAAGAATCTGTTCCGGCCGGTTGGCTCTGGCTAGGCCTGCAAAACTCAATAGCTGCGTAGCTTTGGGATATGAGGTGTGTGCGTGTGTTGGCAGAGGAAGGCCGGCTTTGGGGGTTTAGGGGCCTGCTAAGAAACTCCCGAAAAGATCCTTCCTCCGCCATAACCACAACAAGCATCCGCACCCTGAAACAACAGCTCGAAGAATCCAGAAAAAAAAAAAGCCAACCTGGAACAACATGTCACGACAACAAAGAAGCCCTACAAGGATATATTCGCCGTGGACCAACTAAAAGGGCAATGTGAACAAGCATCAAGAAAGGACAAAGACAAGGACGGAAAGGAGTCATAGGAAGCCATACAGAAGTGGAGAGCATGAAAGAGCCAGCAAACGAGCGCAAGCAAGAGGTGACTCTGCAGGACAGTTGCAAGTTCAAGATATGATGGGATATACCTTTCGGTCTGCACACTGCTCAACGGCACGGAGATGCACGGAAGCTTAGCTTCCAATATCCAACCGTTGCACACCGACTGCTGGCACGCCAAGCACCCTGTAGCACCCTCGTACGGCGTCATGGAGAACAGCCGGCTGCATCTTTGAAAAGTTGAAACACCTCAAGAACTTTGGCAATGCCCGCATGCCCTTTCTGAAAAGCACGAGACTTTGCCGTAGCTCCATCGGTTGTTCGAGCCTTCTTTGCATCGGCGTTGGCTGCAAGCAGCACTCGCACAACTTGCGTGTGCCCATTTTGGGCAGCGAAGAACAATGGAGTTGCACCATCATCCACACGAGCGATATTTATCCTTGCTCCTGCCACTAGCAGTCGTCGGGCCACGTGCACGTGGCCCCGCTCACATGCAACAGTGAGGGGCACGGCACCATCACTTGTCCGAGCCTTATTCAGGTCGGCGCCAGTATCTATCAGCACATCGACGACTTGAGAGAAGCCATGATATGAAGCCACAAAAACTGGCGTTGCTCCATCCATGTGCCGGGCGCCGTCGACGTCAGCGTGGTTCTCAAGTAGAATCTTTGCTTGATGAGGAAGGTCGAGCTCCGCTGCAATGTACAGTGGAATTGCGGCAGGTTGCGAAGCTTCCTTATTGACGTCTGCACGGTATAGAAGAACCAAGCGTGTGACATCGCAGACATCGGCACAAACGGCAGCGATCAAAACAGTGGTACCATCCGGGCTGCGTTCAGCACATGCATCTGCAGCTGCCTCAAGCAAGACACGCGCCACCTCCAAGTGGCCACAGCTAGCTGCCACAAACAACGGCGTTGCATGGTCTCCGCTTCGACGCGGATCCACATGCGCTCTTGCAGCCAACAAAGCGCGCAGCTCGCCAATGCGACTGTTTGCAGCTGCAACAAAGAGTGGGGTGTATCCATCATTTGCGCGTTTGGGTGAGTTTGCGTTCGCCTGTGCTTCGAGCAAGAGCTGCAACAGCTCGAGGTTGCGCGCCAGAATAGCACAGTGCAAAGCCGAGGCACCATCCGAACGCCGGTCGTCCTTGTCGGCTCCGTTCCTCAGCAGAAACCGTGCCACGGCAACGTGGCCTTCGACAACTGCCGCAAGGAGCGGTGTGCTGGCGTCAGCACCACGCCTTCGGCGAACGTGGGCGCGTCGCTCGACCAGGAGGCGCACCACCGGCAGATGACCACAGCAAGCAGCCACAAACAAAGGAGACTCATCGAACTCAGCGGGTGGTTTGTTTGGATCCGCCCGGGCCTGCAGTAGCATTTTCACAACTTTCACGTTGCCCTGGCTCGCGGCAATATCCATCGCTCTGGCCCCCAGTTCTCCCACTTCGTGCCCTGCTTCCAGCATTTCAAGCAACATTTTGACAACCGGCACATGGTTTAAAGACACGGCCAAGGAGAGCGGCGTGTACCCATCAGAGGACCGCACTGTGGCAACATCTGCCCTAGCAAGCATCAGGCTCCGCACCACGTCCACGAAGCCATGATATGCAGCTACGCACATTGGAGTTGAGCCATCCTGAAAGGCTTTGTTCACATTGGCTCTGGCCTCAAGCAGAAGGCCAACCAGAGTGGCGTGGCCTCTCCGAGCAGCCTCCAACAAAGGCGTACGTCCATCTGTGCTGTTTGCCTGGTCCAACCCAGCCCGTGCCTTTAGCAGTGCTAAGACTACATCCAACCTGCCTGTGTAAGCAGCCCCGATCAAGGGTGTCACGCCTTTAGGATTCTCCATCTCCAGGCTTGCACGCTCTTCAAGCAAGATTCGCACAATATCGATTTGCTCCAGCCTGGCTGCGAGCGCGAGGGGAGCTCGATCAGGTTCATTGAGATCCGCCCTGGCATGGATCAGCATCTTGACAACTTTTGGATTGCCAAGGCGGGTGGCATCCTCCATGGCGGTGGCACCAAACTCGGAGACAAGCTTGCCCTCCCTGGCCACCAAGGCAAGCAGCATCTGGACGATGGGTAAGTGGTTCAAGGAGGACGCCAAAGACAGTGGCGTAGATCCGTCAGAGGTTCGTGCTATGGTGACATTTGCCCTTGCCTTCATTAGGATTCGGACTACATCTGAGAAGCCATGATATGCAGCCACACAGACTGGTGTCGAACCATCCTGCGTAAAGGCCTTGTCCGCATCAGCTTTCGCCTCAAGCAGAATGCGAACCAGGGCTGAATGACCCCGACTGGCAGCTTCCAGAAGAGGGGTCCGCCCATCCCTGCTGTCTGCTTTGTCCAACTCAGCCCTTTGCTGTAGCAGCGCATGAGCTGCCTCTGTCCGGCCGAAGTTCACTGCCGCAAGCAAAGGAGTTGCAGACATCTCGTTCCCTGCGTTGACCGCTGCTCGTGCTTCGATGAGGAAACGTAGCATGTCGACATGGTCCATCTGTGCTGCCACGTGGAGTGGCGAACGCCCATCCCCGGGGCTGATGCTGTTACTGTCGGCATCTGCTTCGATGAGTAGACCTGACTACACAGGCCACTCACTGCCACGCCGTAAGCAGAGCACAGAAGAAAAGTGAAAATGTGAAAACCTGGGGAGACTGGGACACTTAGAAAGCTCTGTGAACCGTTGCTAACCCAAAAAGAAGCGTCGAGCACTGCGGAGGCTGTTGCTAGCGGCAGCATGCCGCAAAGCTGTCTCGCCAGTTTCCAGTGTTAAATCCTGGCAATTGGATTCTGCCAGATGTGAACAAAATTGGCGCACACGCCCAAAAAAACACAAAACAAGCTACTTCAAGAGATTAATGGAACATCAGAACGCTTAGCAGCATAGTAGTCATTGGTACTAAGGCTCTGGATCCAAAGGCCGCTGCAAGATCCGCTCAACTTCCCACACCCGGTCTTCGTTCACGGCTGCCAGCAAATGATGGCTTTCACTGTCATCAGCAGGGCAAAAAGTCAAAACAACGAGAACTAAAGTTGCTGGCACCTCCAACCGGGCATTATCCTGAAGAACAGTGCTATCACAAAGCAGCTTTTGGCGAAATCTGGGCTGGTTGATGATGCCTGACAAATGCTGCTTCAGCGACTTCACTGAGTTCCCATAGTTCTCAGTCAACTGTGCGAATTCATCAGCAGAGAATGCTGCGATAGTCTGCCCGCTAAACATGGTGACCGAGAGCACGGCCATCTTCTGTCTGGCACACGCAGCAACCAACCAAGACGACAATAGCTCTTTGGCCAAAGATGTTTACTTGGCAATGCCTGATTAAAGTAAAGCAGCCGACTAGGGTGCAGGGTTGTGGAGTTGGCTTGCTGGTGGGGTGCGAATTCTGCCAAAACATGAGAGATCATGCAGCTGCTTGCAGCAAAACTGTTTGATCCTCCTGTAACGTGTCTGGACCCTTTACCTGAGCCTTCAGTCAATTCAACGCACGCTACGTGCAATGTGAAGCCAAACGCCTGCAAAATGTCACGAAAGAGATGGGTGTATAGCATGCAATCGAGTTCTAGAAGACATGCAAAATGCGACATGTGGAGTTGTGTTCACACAATGGGCATGTGGGCATGGAATGTTCGGCATTTGGCATCCCCTTAGGTTGCAGCAAGGGACCTCAAGCTTCTTGTAAACCCTGCATCCCGTTCATTGACTTGGAACGTTTGTCTAGTAACCTGTGTGAAGGCGTATCCACCACCCAACCAAGATGATGCAATGGCTTCATGGCCAACGGCGACAATTTGATGATCTGTTACAGTATGGCTCGCGCTAAATCAGGAGAAGCCGCTTAACATACAACAGTTTTAGTAACTAGCCGTCGCCATCACTGTCGGAGTCGCAGCCGTGCGAAGTCGCAGGAGCTCACTTGCACCTTGGAGCTCAACAGCATGATAACGATGTACATACAAATACATAAACCTACTCAAATCTACATAAATATACATAAATATACATATACATATACATATACACATATATACATAAATACATATACATATATACATATATACATATATACATATATACATATATATATATATATATATACATATATATATGTACATATATACATGTACACATATATATATATATACATATATACATATATACATATATACATATATACATATATACATATATACATATATACATATATACATATATACATATATACATATATACATATATACATATACATATATACATATATACATATATACATATATACATATATACATATATACATATATACATATATACATATATACATATATACATATATACAGATATACATAATACATATATACATACATATATATATACATATATACATATATACATATACATATATACATGTATAACATATATACATATATACATGTACATATATACACGTATATATTACAAAATATAAAAAAAAAAAAAAAAAAAAAAAAAAAAAAAAAAAAAAAAAACATATACAGATATACATATATACATATATACATATATACACATATACACATATACACATATACATATACATGTACATGTACATGTACATGTACATATTCGCCTCAACTTCCTGCCAAAGAGCGTTTGGAACAAGCAGACCCGTGTTCACCAAAAAATCAAGAATTTGTTAATCGTAGACTTGAGGTACCGAATATCGAATTCGTAACGAGTATAACCCCTCAACTCTAATCATGTAACAGAACGAAAGCATATTCTGCAAAACAAGCCACTTGTTTAGTTTTACTAGCACCAATTACAAAAGAACATGCGTGTCAGTTTCAATGGCTATATTTCGAGCTCGGCGCACCTGATACCGACTTGTAAAAAAACACAGCCCTTGTATCCCAGTTCATGTGACGGATGATAACACTTGAAGTTACAAGGCCATTTCCTGATTACAACAGAGCATGGCTTTCCACGTTCCTTTTTCCACTTGTTGGGCCTATGTTCCTACAACTTTCCTCAAAAAGTACAGCTGACAGCTATTCTATGTTAAACCAACCCATGTCAAAAGTTTACAGGAGTACAGCTCTTTTATCCCTCTTCATGTAACAAACTGATATGATATGTCAATGAGTCTAACTCTCCCCGAATTACAACAAAAGCATATTTCCACTTTCCACGTAAGCATAGGCGCTGTCGAATGAGATGTGTGTTAGCATACTCTTTCTTCAAATCAATGGTGCTCTCCAATGCCTCTGAATCGAAGCAAGGGCGTGTCTGACATGAATGCACGCGAACAAAGAAATACAAGCAAGGCCGGGGGCGGGGGTATGTAGGCCGTCATCTATGTACTCCCTATGCCCTGGACTCAAGGAATCAGTGAACCTTCTGTTGCATAACACGGAGAGAAAAGGTACTTCTTCGGCTTTGAAAAATGGCGTCTGGCACGGCATGGCTACTCGTTAGGAGTTCTGAAGGCTTCCATGCGACGATTAACATGTGCTGCATGGCTGACTGCACATGACGGGCATCACCATTTTGCAGTAAGGAAGGGGCTTAGTGCTGTGTCCTTAACAGATTCTGCTCTGCAAGCAATTGAATGCTTCTGCTTGCAGAGTTGCTCGTTCCATCTAGCTTGTGTCAACTTGTGCGGTCACACACATGGTGGATGGGAAAGAGCTTCCCGAGATCAGGTGCCTCAACCCTTGATCTCGGGATTTTGCCAAGTTGATGCCGACAAGACCCACACTGACGACTGACCATTGACCGGCCACGCCCTTGAACATTGGCAAAAGCTGGCGAACCACTCCACCACCAAGACAAACCCATTACCAGCCCCTGCCTAGAAGCCAACTGAGTATTTCTGGGTTAACGGCTAGAAGCATAGGAATTTACAGAGAAGCCCACCTCTCCCGGTGGGAGGTTCGGAAGTTTCTCAGAGGAGAAAGAGCGGCGCTTGGTTTCTACTTTTCCACCCCTTGCTCCATGCATAGACTTCTCTAAGCTCCCAAGCTTTTCAAGCTTTCTGCACTGCGGGGCCGGTGACTGAAAAAAGGGCTCCAGCCTATGCGGAAGCTTTGCCTACCCTCTCAGATGTCCCTGGGAATGAAGTCGCCAACGGAAGACTGGAACTCCGCAGCCGCCAAGTTGGGGAGTAGCGAAGGTCCCTCGCCGGTGGATGCATTTCTGAGCACCATGAAGAAGAAGCCCACCATAGCCAGACGGCAGTGCTTGATCTCACGTAGCTTCATGTTGTTCCACTCCTGCAGATTGATGCTGATTCTGGTTTCCCACCGCCGCGAACCCACCGAAACAGACCGAAGCCATGAAGCTCACAGATATTCAGTCCTCTGGCTGGTAAGCGGCCGTGAAGGTAGGACCAAACCTCGTTGATCGGATGCAGTCAGCGTTTGAACAGTGTCTGGTTAAATCGTTTTTGCATCGTCATCAGTCTACATGGGCACTCATGGGCTGGAGGCTAGCACAGATGATCACGGATGCTCAGACAGATGCAAGCACGGATGCGAACACCTCAGCTGCAGGCCACTTGGGACGCGGGCTGCTCACCGGGGCTGTCGGATTCCAGCCGAGGTCCCCCGGCTGGACGCCCTGGGAGTACTTGCTGATGACCTGCCGCAACTGTCGCAAGATAGCGCACCGAAAGCAGGGATTCGCCGGTCAAACCGGCGCAACCTCGAATTCTTGGGCTCTAGCAGACTCTAGCACCTCTTGGGGCCTGTACATGCCCTGGACCTTCTCGAGCATTATGCCAACCGACTACCCAAGGCACGTTCTCGTAGCGCCAGAGCTCAGACAGCGCGATCACAACAATTATCTGAAGCCAGCCGATGATCGGAACCTGTCACCGAGCGAGACTCCATACCTGCCTGTTTTTGCTACAGAGCATCTCCTTGGGACAACTACTTGCCGCACTAACATGAACAGGCTACCTGCATCTCCCTGCATTCTCACCCGCCATCATCCGCCTGCGTGGCCGCCTTCAGGGGGTCCGCGGAATCCGTCGGGTAACGGGTGATGAAAGGCTCGAACTTGGCACCGGCAGTCTGCACCTCAGTTCGGACATGTTCGGATTCTTCTCAAAGAGACTGCATCCGCCCCAGTCGGAAGCTGAGGGGCGGTGTAGCCCAGCACCGCGAGCATGCAAACGCGGCCATGCGCGAGCTCGGCTTCGCGGTACCAAGGAAGCAGGCGCTGGTTCTTCGCGAAGCCTGCCAGAATGCAGAGCAATGCATTGAAGACTCGCTCCTCCGCAGCGAAATTGTAAGAGCGAAACCCATCGAAGCCCCATCTTGCAGTGACGTTTGAAATCGTTTGAGCACTGCCTTGCAGAAAGGGGTTCACCATGCGAGGGTTTGGAGCAAAACAAACTGGACAGGTGGCAGGTGGCACACGTGCCATGGCTGCCATTAGCTGGCATTGGCTGCCAGAGGCCTTGCGCTTCTTGCATGCGCTTGCATTTTGGGATGTTCCTTCACTTCCAGTAAAATTAAGCGAACTCGATCGCTGTGACTCTGCAGTGGCCCGAGGGGCGCACTTATGACGTCTGATGACCTTCCACGGTTCAGCGTGCCCACAAGAGGCACGATACGCATTTCAAGGCCGTCAAGGCCCACAAACGCCGAGAAGCATCCGCCGCAACATCGCAAATGGCATACTTTTGCGTCGCGGCGGGTGCCGCATCGCACTCACACCGAGGTCCCGTGAATTCCATACTGGTTCTCCACTAGGCTCCGTGCGTTCACTGAAGCTTGCAGCCGTTCTATACAAGGGGATTTGCAATTTCGAGATGTTGCAAATGGCGTTTTTCGCTTCGGTCCTAGGGGCACACCACTTCAAGACCAAAGAGGCATGCAGCGGCACAGGGTTACTTCACACCCCCCCCCCCCCAGAGCATGGCGAGCATCATGGAGGAGCATCATGGAGCATCAGTGGCCACCCGTGGACTCCACGCGGCAATCGCATCAGGGGCTCCTGGCTGCCGGCACGGCCTGCTCTTGGGCACAGCCCTTGAATAACTCCTGAACTCTTTGGAAACTATATGGGAAACGGAAGCCGCTGGCCCTCGGCAACTAAGTTACATGCAGGATTCCTGGTCCAACGAAGGGGATGTATCTTGAGAGTTCCCGGGCAAAACGCACAAAAGATATTCAGCGAAGCTAGTTTGGCTTTATGGCGTAATCATGTTTTCGGGTGCGTGTGTGTGTGTGTGTGTGTGTGTGTGTGTGTGTGTGTGTGTGTGTGTGTGTGTGTGTGTGTGTGTGTGTGTGTGTG